AATTCAGTGGCTGATGGAAGAAGAGGCAGACTCCCACAGCTAAACACTGAGCTGAACTCAAGGAATACAGTGATAGAGAGGGAGGACTGATGAGCAAAGGGGTTAAGACTGGGCTGGTTTAACACCCAGAAACAGCTGACCTGACAAGGGTTAGCTCTTGAATCCCAGACTGATGGCTGGGAATCCAACATGGGACTAATCAAGACCACCTGAATCTGGGTGTCAGTGAGGAGGCCTAGGTAATCTATTCAGCCTTGGGTAGTAGGTCAATATTTACCTTGGGTATACAAATGGACTTTGGGTGCCCATTCAACAATGAGAGATGCATTCTCACCCTGGATTCTTGGGGGAGGGTCTAGGCCCTGCCCTGGATGAAATGACAGACTATGACACCCTTGTGGAGGGCCTTACCCTCCTTGGGGAAATGAGGTGATATTGGAGGGTTGGTGGGTGGTCATGGGAGAAGGGGAGGGAAAGAGAGAGGGACGTGGAATTGACATGTGAAGCAACCTTGTTCTAATTTAAATTTAAAAATAAAATAAAATAAAAGTATTTATTCACCTCTTGTTAAAGGCGCTCTATTGTCATAAAGTTGGTTGTAGGGTTTTTTTCTTTTGCTTTAGCTGTGTTGGAATATTCAGGGCTTGCTGTAGTGTGGTATCTGCCTCTAGTGGAGACACAATTCTCTTGCTGTTATTGATTGTGTTTTGTTTGGAGGGGTTTTTTGTGGGTGATGGTTTTGTTTTGTTTTGTTTCACTTTGCTTTTACACTGGCATCTAGAATTATGGGATTGCAAGGATTATAGGTCTAGGTGCTGGTTTCTAGAGTAGTCTTTGTTTCAGAAGTGTTCTTACTCTTGGTGTCCATTTTCTCTCTGGCAAGCATGTGATTGCTGTATGCTCTCTGGTAGGAGTTTCTCTTTGGACTTGATAGTTTTGGCAACTTGGGGTTCCAGGTAAAATGTGTTTCTGAGTATTGGCAGCTGACACATAGAAATGGACTTGGGATAGAGGTCTGAAGGGATCATAGGAGGGAGGAGAGCACTGTTCTACCAGAATCTGCTTATTTTGTCTCTGTGGAATAAGGAGAGACAGTGAAGAGAGATAGTTGCAGAAGGTCTGCTATAGCAATGCAGATGAGCCTGGGGTTGGATCTAGAGGAACAGATGGAGAAGGGGAAATCTATAGAAAGGTTGCATTCATCTCTGGTGGAATTGGATAATCTGTGGATTATCAGGAAGTGCCTCATAAAGACTGGGAGGCAGATCTGTGGAATTCAGAGGAGATTGGGTGGGAGGCAAGGGAATGAGTGGTGCAGCTGGTGTTGTATTGCAGAGCTGGGAATAGAACTGGGGGATTGAATCTGAGGAACAGAGGGAGAAGAGAAGTTTGCAGAAACCTTACCAGGTTTTCTGGTAGGCATGGCCTACAGCTGTGGATTTTACTCTGTGGGTTGTGGCACTTTGGGGGTTCTAAGAGTGCTGTCAAGGAGTGGAATATCACATATATCAGATATTTACATTATGATTCACAACAGTAACAAAATTATAATTCTATGTAGCAAGGAAATAATTTTAGGATCAGTGGTCACCACAGATGAACAACTCTATTAAAGGGTCCCAGCATTAAGAAGGTTGAGAACCACTGGATTAGAGTATATGGATTCTTCATGACTCAATCCCCTGCAACATTTTTAATACAAATGAGACTTTTGCATGCTTGGACCAAAAACACTTCTCTCCACTTTTACCTGCTCTTCTCAATTTTCATAAGAGCATGATGGGCCATGTTCTACTCTGCCAATAATAAGTGCTAAGAAGGAAGAGAGGCCTTCTGATACTGGTGTGGCAGTGAAGAGTGTGCACACACATGCACAGCTTAGCAAAGGTGCGTGTATAAAAATGGGGTTCTGTAAACAGAAACACTAATGGAATCGACAAACTGATTTAAAATGTTTATTCATGTTATATATAGTTTGGGTCGGGTTTTATATACTTTAGCTTTAGTACAATACAGTCAAGCCCAGCCCTCTCCTCCATGCCCATTACTATTCATTGACAGCTGTATTCATGCCTGAACAATCATAATTAATTTCCCGAGATTCCGTGTACATGCTCCAGAGATCCCTTTCCTACCGGGAGTCATTAGTAAAAACACTGGCTGGTGCTTCTGGAAGATAAAAGGTTACTGTTGCTGATGATGTGTTAATTGAAGATGTGTTACATTTGCTTTTGCAGTGAAATGTTTGTTTAATGATGCAAAAATGTGTTGCATTCTTTTATGTTACATTTGTTTAACTCTGTGAGGCTGTGTTACTTGATGTGTCTAAAACACCTGATTGGTCTACTAATGAGCTGAGTGGTCAATAGCTAGGCAGTAGGAGAAATAGGCAAGACTGGCAGGCAGAGAAAATAGAAAGGAGGAGAAATCTGGGAAGAAAAAAAAGAGAAAAGGAAAGAGGGTATCAGGGGTCAGCCACCCAGTTACACAGCAAGCCATGGAGTAAGATGTAAGAAAGGTATATAGAATAAAGACAAAAGCCCAAAGGCAAAAGGTAGATGGGATAATTTAAGTTATTGAACGTTGGCTAGAAACAAGGCAAGCTAAGGCCAAGCATTCATAAGTAAGAATAAGACTCTACACATTTGGGAGCTGGGTGACAGAACCCCAAAGAGCAAGGAGGAAAGAGTAAAAACAACCAAATACAGATCACAGCTAACCAGGGTCCCAGGACCTCTTCAGACATTTGAGGGGAGGCTCAAGGAGAGGGTCTCATGAAGTGCCTGCCATTGTGGCCACGTCCCTTTGGGTGTGGCTTCAGGAAGATAGAAGCAAAAAGAAAAGAAGCCACACCTCAATCTTCCCTCTTTCTGCTTCAGTCTGCCTGAAGCCATGCCCAAAGAGGTGAGGCCACCACTACAGGTTAACCTGCAAGACCACTCCAGATGCCAGGGAGCAGTTTGGTTCTGCTAGCAAGTGTGGATGTCACCCAGCCATTGACTTACACTATGAGGTCTCAGAGACCTTAGAAGCATGAGCAGTAATGAAATCCAGTACCTGTGTTTTCAGCTACTCTGCACTGTGGTAGTCATCCAAGACGAGAGTGTGGGCAGCAGTCTCCACCGGGTAGGTCCTTGCAGAGGGCAACCTCACACATGACCTTTAAATGCTCCAGACCATACTTGTCAGCAGCTGCCAGCATAGCATCTGCCATGCTGTGGAGGTCTGGTGCCTTCCTGATGTAAATGAAGCCCATCATTGCCTTGAAGCCTGTGACTCCAGGTCATGGATCTCAACTTGGTTCTTTTTGTTCTCCCTCCTCCTTGTCATGTTCAAACATGGCTCTGAAAACTGGAGAATTAAATGCTAAGATGGCCTTGTGAGTCCAGAATTTCTGTCCAGCTACCACCAGGCAGCAGTCTGTGAAGAAGGAATTCTCCCACAGCTCTCCTAGCTCATCTGCCAGAGTGCACCTTGGCACCTTGATCTTGGGTGTCATTTTCAGTTCAAAAATGTGGGACCATGTTCACCTTGTAGAGGAGGGTGAGCTCATCACCTGGGTGAAGCCAATGTGCATAGGAAAAGAGGGTATCTGGAAGGATGAACTTTTTTGAATATCCACTGGTAGTCTGACAAAAACCTAAAGACTCTTGGGTGCTTCACACTTTGGGTTTTCTCTCCTTAGGCACTTACAATCCAGAACTGAACTTTGATCAAACATAACTCTTTGGAGAACTAACACTAGGTAAACTGACAGGTGCCTGTGCTTTCTTTGTCAACCCTTCAGGTGCACTGTCAAATACCATTTCAATTTGTGATTGACTCCTGATGAGAAAGTTGGACTTTTAATGGCTTCCTGAATATCCTCCAGGAAAAAAAAGGAAGTTGCTGATGGCCCACTTGTAGAAGAATCTCTGGCAGTTCTTGACTGCCTGGTCCCCTAACATTTTTGCAGGTGGCAGTTTGGACATTGGACTGGATCCAAAATGAAGAACTAAGATTTGTTTTCTCTTTACCCTGTGGGACACAGTCAGACACATTTTAGTGTTTAGACTATTAGGAACAGCTACATCACTCCATTTTTTTCTAGATTGAATGTTAGGTAACTAGTTTTTGACAATTATACACAACTGTTGAATCATTTGGAACATTGTATACACTGATATCAAAAAATGTTGTACTCGGTTTCTCTAGAGTATTGGAACACATAGAACGAATCTATATATGAAGAAAGGGGACCTATTAGAATGACTTACGGCTGCAGTCCTGCTAATCCCACAATGTCTAGCTGTGAAGTGAAAGTTTAAGAATCCAGTATTTAATCAGTCAAGGAGGTTGGAACTGTCAGCTGGTCTTCAGTATATGCTGGAATTCTGGAGAAGTTTCTCTAATTCCATTGAGTGAATGGGCTTGCTGCATGGTGAGGGCAAGCAGGCCGAGAGCAACAGCTTCCTTCTTCCAGGTCCTTTTATAGGCTTTCAGAAGAAGGTATGGCTCAATTAAATGTCTTCTGGCTTCAGGATCAGAATTAGCCAGGTGGTGGTTATGCACACTTTAATCCCAGCATTTGGGAAGCAGAGGCAGATGGATCTCAGTGAGTTCCAGGCCAGCCTGGTCTACAGAGTCAGTTCCAGGACAGCCTCCAGATATCAAAGAAGAGGCTTGGGGATGTTTGCCCTTCTACAAAGTGAGTATAAAATGGTTCCCACATCTTTCATCTCTTTCTTCTTGTCTTTGTGAGACTCACTATGCCTAGATGACACTGGCATATGTTGAATGATTCAGTCATCTCAGAAATTGCCAACCTAGCCCTCCATAACTCTAGCTCATTCCTCAGTACTATTCATTTATCAGTTGGTTTTGAGTTACTCAGTTTTCTTTCCCTACCTAGATTTCCTGCAGGTGGCTGAAAAGTGTCATCTGCTTCTCTTCACCAGGTGGGTTAGGTTCATTCAAGTCCCTCCTACCTCAAATCTGTTATTTGAAAAGTCTGTGTTTGACCACTTGCAGACACTTCATTTGCAACGAAGATGGCTAAGTGGTGAGACCAGCGATCCCTTGAGCTCCTGGAGCGTTGTGTGAGGGAGCTGCCCTTCACAGGGGAAACTGAGCCCATCTGAGAAGAATCATGGGCTCTGCCCATAAGGTTTCTCATTCCACAGCAAGCCACAGTCTTTGAACCCCTCTCCTGCCAGCACGGAAGAAGAGACCACAGCAGAAAGAAGATCAAAGGACAGATTATTGTTGAGAAGGTGGGTAGAGCTCTGAGCCACTTTTGCTCACCTGTGATGAATAGTCAGCACCATGGTTTATCGAGGAGTTGCCAAGATGTTGACAGGCAGTAAATGAGCACAATTTATCCATAACATCATGTTGGAATCTCATTGGTTTTTTTAGATTACTATTTTTCCATATGTTTTTCTTATTAATTCTTTGATAATTTCACTCAAGTATGCAATGAATCTTGATTCTATTCATCTATGTTCCTTCTCAACACCTCCAATGTACCCCCACCTTCTCTGAACTTCATGACTTCTTTTATTTTACTCTTTTAGTAGCAGAGTCCAATGTGTGCTGTCTTTATACTCATGTGTGTAGCCATCCTAGAACCAGGGACAAACCCAGAAAAAGCTAACTACCCTCTTGCTATAAGCCATCCACTGGACAGTAGGGTTTTCAAAGATGTGCAAACAGCTCAAAAAGACTACTGGACTTCCTTTTAAATTTTACTTATTTATTTCTTTATTCATTTATTTATTTATTTAATGACTGATTGCATTGATGTTTGTGTAGAGATTGTGTGCCATATACCAGGCGAGTTCAGAAGAGAGTTTAGGATTCCCTAGGACTAGAGGAATAGATAATTGAGATCTTCCATGTGGGTTCTGGGAACTGAACTTGGTTCTTGAAGAAGAGCAGCCAGTACTCTAAAGTGAATTAGAATCTCACCAGCCCAGTTGTATACTTACTTAAGACCACACACAATATGTTACTAAGCAGTCACTAAAACAAACCTAATCTCTAAGCAGCTGTGCTAGTTGCCTTGGTGTGAACTTGACATAAGCTATGGTCATCTGGAGACGGGAACCTCACTTAAATGCCTCCATCAGATTGTCTATAGGGCTGTCTCTAAGGCATTTTCTTGCCCCCCACCATTTTTATACAGACTCTCTATACACAGCTGGGGCTATCCTAGAAATCACTACGTAGACTAATCTGGCCTCTAAGTCCCAGAGATCTGTCTCTGCCTCCTGAGTTCTGAGAACTCACACCTGCCTAAGGCATTTTCTTTTTGCTGTTATTGTTCTTGTTTACTTAAAATTTTTATTTTTCTGTTTACATACCAACCCCAGTGCCCCTGCCCTCCCTTCTTCCTACTCCCCTGCCTCTTCCCTTTCCCACCCACCCCCATACACTCTTCAGAGATAGTAAGACCTTTTTTGGTGAGTCAAGAAAATCTAGCATAGCAAGTTGGCATACCAAGCCTCTCCTCCCTGTATCAAGATTGAGCAAGGTATCCCACCATAGAGAATGGGCACCAAAAAGACAGTTCATACACCTGGAATAGGTCCTAGTACCACTGCCAGCTCCCCCAGCAGATCAAGTCACATAACTGTCACCTATATTCAGAAGGTCTAGTTCAGGCCCATGCAGGTTCCCCAGCTGTCAGTTCATAGTCTCATAGTTTATGATATCTCAGAGTAATTTTGATTTACATTTCACTGATGGCTAAGGACATTGAGCAATTCCTTAAATGGCCATTTGAGTTTCTTCCATTGAGAATTCCCTGTTTAGATATGTACCCCATTTTTAATTGGATTATTTGGTATTTTGGTATCTAGTTTCTTGAGTTCTTTATATATTTTGGAGATCAGTCCTCTGTCACATGTGGGGTTGGTGAAGATCTTTTTCTATTCTGTAGGCTGCCATTTTGTCTTATTGACCATATCCTTCACTAAGGTAGTTTCTTGACTTACAATTGATACGGAAGTCCACAGTCTATTGGGGGCAGAGCCACCCTTTGTCAGGTGATCCTAGGGTACATAAAAAAGCAAGTCAGTAAATAGCACTCTTCAGTGTCTCTTCTTTGACCTCTGACATTCTTGAGTTCCTACCCTAACTTCCTCTTATGATGGACTAAAAGCAGGAAGCTGAAACAACACCTTTCTTTTCCAAGTTGCTTTTGGTAATGGTGTTTCATCACAGCAATGAAGAACAAAATTAAGACAGCAGACTCATGAATTTTAATCACAAACTAAGAAAGGGTCATGAATTTTAATTATATCACCACAGTTACACTTTGGTCTTTTACAAATTATATTGAAAGTTTATAGCTGTCATCCATATATGGAACACCCTACCCTTTTGAATATTGGCCACAGAAACACGGTGAGATGGGCTTGTTTCTAGATGGTTCTGGGTTTCTATGGGAGGTCAATGAAGAAAGAAAAGAGAGAAAAACAGGTAGATGACAATGTAGCTCAGGTGTAGAGAAATAGCCTAGAATGTGGAAGGTACTGATTTATGTCTCCATCAAGACTCACACACGCTCACATGCAAACACATACATATGCATGCATCTATTCAAACGGAGAAGAAAAACCAACGCTTCCTTTGAACATGTGAAGGGTATCAGAAGTGCATTGAAGCTTTTCATTGACTTCTATTAAGATTATTACTCTGGCTAGGCATGCTCCTAGAATCCTCTACCTTCAGATATGTGTACTTCACTGTGTATAGATACCATGTCTTATTTCCTGAATTCAAAGGAGCAATTTTTACCCCACACAGATATTGAGTAAAAAGTATGGGTGATTCCACTCACACAGTTCCTTCTTTTAGTATCATTTTTATCACTGTGGGCCTGTGTTATAAGTGATATTTCTGTGGTGGTGTATTGAACGGCCTTCACAGTGGCCAAACATTGCAGTTTCTTTCTTGAAAGATTCACAGTGTTGCAGGTGTGCTAGTAAAAATGTAGAAAACTATTCATACTATGCATCTGTAGCTCTTTCTCTAAGAAGGCCTAGTTAAGTCTCCACTATAAAACAATCTAAAATAGAATAAAAAAGATTCTGTTCTTCTTGTTGTTACTTGCAACTTGCCCTCATCTGTTTCTAAGACCACCATCTCAAGAAAATGATTTGTTGAGTTCTTAGGGAGGGAATTCTAGGGAACACAAATGAAGCATGACTGCTGTTTCACATGGCAATACCGTTTTACCTTGTAGAATCTCTTTTTTTTTTAATTTTGTTTTCCAGTTTAAATTTAGATAAGAAACAAGGTTGCTTCACAAGTCAGTTCCAGGTCCCTCTCCCATTCCCTCCCTTCCTCCCGTGCCCTCCCCCCCCGTTATCCCCTCATTTCTCCAGGGAGGGTGAGGCCCTCCATGGGGGTGTGCATAGTGTGTCATTTCATATAGGGCAGGGCCTAGACCCTTCCCCAAGAGTTCAGGGTGAGAGTTCACCTCACATTGTTCTATGGGAGTCCAAAGTCCATGCTTAAAATAGGCAGATGACACCAAAGATCAGTGAAATAAATTCAAGGGTAGTCGAGGATACACAGAGGGGACAGATACACAGGACAGATTTGCAGCTGTCCAATTTGATGAAGAAGTCAATGTAACTGAAACACACTCCAGATAGCTTTGCAAGACTTCACAGATACCGAGAACCAACATTAAGGTCCTGTGGATCCATGTGCTCATTACATATCTGTGGGTTACAAGCCACGGTTTCCTCTGAGAAGCTGATTCTGGGCTCCTAAGATTGTCTTTTACAGAGGAAAAAGTGGGTTTTCCATCTGACAACACTGCAGCTTCCCAGCTTTTGCCAAGGTGCACTAGAGGCGACAGAAAATTCTTACATTTTTGTTTGTGGGCCTAGCCATCTCTCCAGCCCATCAACAGCAAATTCTTGCAGTCTTTCATGCTCACTTTGTGTGTTTATGTAGAACTCTGTAATTGCAGTCTTTAGTACCAGACTGTCTTATCCCTACAATCTAACTTCTTTTCAAAGTGATGACATCCATTGCTTCGGAAATTCTGTTAGAGCATCCTCTCTAGACACAAAGCAAAAGTCACAGAACTTGCTAACAACTTTCATGAATATGTTCTGACCAAAGTACAGTTTATCACCAAACATCCAGAATAATATGTAATACTTTTCTAATGCTGCTGTAACGAATGGGCAACAGCCTAGAAGCACAGGAATTCATTAGTTTCGATGACTAAAGTTCAGGGTTTCAAAAGGGCTCACATGGAGCCATCAGTAATCTACTGGAGGCTGTCCCCATTTTGGCCTCTAGAGGGCACCACTTCCCTTGCGTTGGCCTTTTTTAAGCCACACTTGTCAAAGTATCTTGGCTGTTGATCCTTTTGCTGATTCTTTTGTTTTTTCCTTCCAAAGTCATTAGGACCCCTGTAACACCATTATCCCATCACAGAACTCACAAGATGATCTTATCTCAAGGCCTCAACACTGCAGAATCGGATATGGGAAGACCAGGACTTTAAGCCCAGCCTTGGTTTAATAGTGAGTTTGAGATCAGCCTGGCTTACCTGAGACCTACCTAAAAACAAACAGACAAGTAAATGAATGAATGAATAAAAATTAAAAATATGTAGAGAAAAGAACTATCATGATAAACTGATATCAACAAAATCAGCTTAGACATGTGTAGTAAGGTCATCTTCCAGACCCTAGATCTCTTTGGGACATGGCCCATCATATCACTAGTGTACTTAAAGTAAATTATCTAATTTTTCACTTTCTTCCTCTTTTTTCCCCAAAGCAGTAATTACTTACCATTTCAAATGGAAAGATTAATGCTAGAAAGAGGGCTCTGTGGTTATGAGCACTGGCTGCTTTTCCAGAGGACCTGGGTTCAATTCCTAGCCCCTACATGTAGACTCACAACCATCTGTAAGTCTAGTTCCAGAGACTCCCAGGCCATCTTTGTCCTACATGGGTCCCACACCTGCATGTCTAACTAACATCTGAACACACAGAACACACACACACACACACACACATACACACACACACACACACACATATATATATATATATATATATATATGAGAAGAAAATCATAAAAAGTTAAACTAAAATGGAAAAATTAACATTTAGAACTTCCTTCCTCCAGGAAGAGGAGCTGACCAAAAGTGGTGATCAGCTATTGGCCCCATGAACATGTGTGTCAGTCAGGGGGCTTGGGCAGTCTACAGGACCTCTGGCAGTGGAACCAGTAT